GGGGAGAGCTGGGGGGTGGGGAGCTGGAGGGGTCGTGGTGAAAGAAATGCACTCTGCTTCCCAGGAACCTTCTTTGCACATGCAGACCTGCAGAGCCTACGCCTGTATCCCTTCACCACTGGCTGGCACCCCTTTGTGGTGGCGGCAGAGGTCACCTACCTCCTGTTCCTCATCTACTACATGGTCGTGCAGGTGAGGGGTGGACTTGTAGCTCCATGGGCAAGGGATGGAGATGGCAACGTGCCCATTCCCTCTCCCACCCCTACCCTCTTCCCTGGGGTGGGAACTGAAGGAGGGGGAGGAAAAGGTTCTGCTTACCTGTTTGTCATGGCAAACTTTGGGGGCCCTTCTGCTAATCCTAAGGGCTGACCTAGTTCAGAGACCCAACTTTTGCACATCACAATAATGAAGAACTCAGAGGGTGGTCCTTCCTGGGAGGGGAAGGGAGAGGAACAAGGCTCCCATTTCTGCTGAATCGAGACTTTACAAAAACGTTAGAGGTGGAGAGTCTCCATAGCTGGGGCTTCTCTGAACTTAGATTGTGGGGGTTACTGGCACTTTTGTTCTCACAGTAGTCCCTGAGAATTAGGAAACATCCCCCTTGCTACCTTTACCACCATGTAGCACAATGAAGGTGAAGATATTAATAATGACGATGGTTTGAAGAGGCTGGGAACATATTCAAAGTATATTAGATGTTCTTTTCCAAAAATGGAAACTGGATACCTAAAAGGGGCATCCTGGCCTCCACCCCAGTGCTTGCTCCAATAACCACAGCAACCACTTTAAAGTAACAAAGACAATATACTTTGAGTGCTCACTGTGAGGCATTGTGCTAAGAACCTTATGTGGATTTTCTCCTTTCACACCAGGAGAAAGGTCCTATGGGATCCACTTCAGAGTAGGAAGATAGCATCCAGAGATGTGAAGTACAGTAGTACCTCGGTTTTCAAACGTCTCCAGTGACTAACATTTCAGTTTATGAGCGCCGTAAACCCGGAAGGAAATGCTTTGGTTTTCAAACCCACCTCGGGAGTCAAACAGGCCACACGGCTTCCGCTGTCGGCTGTGGATCCCTTGGTTTTTGAACGTTTCAGAACTCGAATGGCCTTCCGGAATGGGTTACATTAGAAAACCAAGGTATCACTGTAATTTATCCAAGTTCAGGACTGAATCCTGAGAGTCTGAACCCAGGTCTTGACACTCAACCCTTAGGCCACACCATCAGCCTCATAAACGGGTAACCCACATGGTCTCTGAGCATCCAGTTTAAACCCAAAGGCCAACAGTTATCAAATAGCAACTTTGTCCTAGCATTTCTCTAAGAACATCAAAGGAGGCCCATTCGCCACCCTCTGAGCTTCGTTCCTCTCCTCTCCATTGCCCTCACACTCTGCCTGCGGCTGTTTCAGAAAGCCTCTCTCTCAAACCCTTAAATCTTTCTCAAAATTCTGTTTGAGCAGTTTTAAAAATTTCCCCTTCGCTCCATCCCTTTAGAAAGGAGGCAAACTTAGTCTCTTACCAGCCAAACACTAGTCCTTCCTCCGTAATAGTAGGTAGGGGAGGGAAACGGGAGACAACAGAAGGTTATCTTGAGTGGAAGCAAAAAGAAGGAATGGGAGGGAGGCTGAGAACATGCACAGTATTATTATTTTTGACCTGTGACACCTGCTGGGGTAACAGCACTAGAAACAAAGTATCCTGCCAACCCAGGAAACCTCCCCACAGAGGAAGGGAGAAAAAAAAAAAAACTACTTAAAATTATTTATTTTAAATTGTTGTAAATATACGTAACATAAAATTTACCATTTTAGCCATTTTTAAATGCACATTTTGGTGGCATGAAGTACATTCACACCGTTGTGCAACTATCACCACCATCCATCTCCAGAACTTCTCTCCTCTTGCAAAACTGAAACTACCCATTCAACAATAATTCCCACCTTACCCCTAAGAAAACGACTTTTATTATTGAAAAAGCATTAAACCAGAATGTGATGTGTAACCCAGGCAATTCGCCAAAGAGACAGAAAGAAACCTCACCCTTGGATATCACCAAGCAGATACAATCCATTACATACATATACATTCTTAAAATAAAGGCTAATTAATCCTTACCAGGACTTATAGCACCATTCATTTCACTAGTCCATCCTAATTCAACTGGTAATTGGGGTGGCCAACTGAGTTTGCTAACTGCCTTTATGAAAAGGAAAAATAAACTTCATTTATCTTTACAACAGGAGATAGTTTTGCAACTTGAAGCCAGGTGCCTGCCTGTTACACTCCTACTTTCTTAAAGGAAACCAGGAGACAGAAAAACATCCATGAGTTATAAAACTGGCCAGAAGCTTGTTTAGCATTTGTTTTTTTAAAAATATGTTTTTATTGGTTTCAGAGAGAGGAAGGGAGAGGGAGAGATAGAAACTTCAATGATGAGAGAGTCATCGATCAGTTGCCTCCTGCACACCCCCCACTGGGGATTGAGCCAGAAAACCAGGCATGTGCCCTGACTGGGAATCGAACTGTGACCTCCTGATTTATAGGTTGATGTTCAACCACTAAGCCACACTGGCAGGGCATGTTAGCTTTTAAAAAGATTTGCATACATCTCAAAGGGGTAGAGAAAGAATTCACAATTACAAGTTTTCTTTAGTAAATGTGCTATGGTGGGGGGGATGTCTTTCCTCCCCGCCCCCTTTTTTGGCATCACAGAGAATTAAATGTCTTATTAGATAATGTATTTACTCTTTTTAAAAATATACATTTTTTATTGTTGACAGTATTACAGATGTCCCCCATTCCCTCCCCTTTACCCCCTCTACCCAGCCCCTACCCCTCCAGATGTATTTACTTTTTACACCTCCAAATCCTGCAGCTCAGATTAATGACAGGATCAGGTAGGGTCTGTGCATAAATTTTGGGAGAGGCCTCCAGCACTCTGAATGTGGGGCCAAGGCTCTGAGAGACCTCCAGGACCCAGTAACCTCCTCCCAGAGGGTGATTCTGGGTGGTGCAGGGAGCCACCTTGGGGGTGAAGGCGGGAAACAAGCACAGTTCTGGCCACAGTCTTTGATAGAACCTCCTTTGCCAGGGCAAGCTTATGAAGAAGCAGAAATGGTGCTATTTCCACAGCAAGTGGAACCTTCTGGATCTGGCCATCATCTTGGCTAGCTGGAGTGCCCTGGTGGTGTTTGTGAAGAGGGCCATCCTAGCGGAGCAAGACATCCAGCGATACCGAAAACACGGGGAGGAGTAAGTGGCTCAGCCTCAGCCCCGGGTCCCACCACTGGCCCCGCTTGCTCCAGCTCTGTGTGGCTCAGGGGTGAAAGGAGGCCTTTAAAATCTTGACCCTCAGAGGATGAAGGGTCACTCTAAAAAATAACTATAGCTATCACTTAGATGCAGGTTTGTGGTCTGAAGCATATGCAATTGGAGCGGACTCTAAAACAAAATAAAACAGGATCTTTTGCAAATCTTACCAAAACAGAGGACCAAGTGACACTCTGTTAAGGTCCTTTCCAGCCTTTTGGGCAGGGGTTTTGCAAGCATTAATGTTGTCAACCTGCCTCTGCCACCATTTACCAAAGGTCTACTCTGTGCTAGGCAGGATGCCCTAACCAACCAGATCCTCATGAGAACTGATGGAGGTAAGTGTTATCATTACCCCATTTTACAAATAAAGAACTTGAGGCTCAGAGAGATACTGTGACTTCCCCAATGTCACACAGCTAACAAGTAGCAGAGAAGTAATTTAAATCTAGCTTCATGTGTCTCCAGGATCCCAGCTTTTACTTTGAACCATTGTATTTCTTGACTCACTGATTTTATAGATAGAGCTAACATTTATTAAGTTATTGTTGGATGCCGCGCACACAGTCTTAAAGACACCACTTTAAAAGCATTATCTCATCTACTTTAACCTTCCTGAAACTTCTGAGATATTATCATCATCTCTTTCTCACAGATGAGAATATTGAGGCTCAGAGAGTTTAAGTTGTCTGGGCAAAGTCACACAGCAAGGAAATGCAGGGCCTAGAATTTGAACTCTGCACTCCTAACCTCCACTCTAGATTGTCTCATTCATTCAACAAACCCTAATTGAGCACACCCATGTTGCCACACCAAATATATGACAAAAACTCCACCCTCTCTAAAGGCCCCCATCCATAAAAATGTCTCAATATCAATCATGTTCCTTGAGCTAAAAATTATCAGTATTTTTATTTTTATTTAAGCTGATTATAAACCTTATGCAGAACAGTTATTTTAAAAAACTTAAAGATGGGTTGGTTCTTGAAGGGGTCTGCAAAAGATGACACAGGAGCCAATCCAGCCCACCACCTGTTTTATAAATAAAGTTTTATTAGAACACTACCTCACCCACTTATTCCTTTATGTATTATCTATGGCTCCTTTCCTGCTAAAACTGGGTTGAGTTGTTGGAACAGAAACTGGCCCACAGAGCCTCAAATATGTGCCATCTGGCCCTTTACAGAAAAACTATCTACTGCTTAGAGAACAAAGCCTGAGTTCTAGGAAGGAACAATGGTGAGTTTGTTTTAGGTCACACATTTACTGAGATCACTGACGGCCAGTGTGATCATTGAACCATCATTGTCCCCACACTAGCCATGCTTTATGATATGATTCCTCACAATGATCTAAACATGCTTTATTTTTGACATTCACACAGACTGGTTTCTTGCTTAGATGGATTATAAAACAATTTTAAATGAGAGAGTACTCTTTTTACATAGAGTGTCAGAAAACATAAAAGAAATCTGCCACTTTTTTTTTAAGAGGTCTTAGCTTGACTATTCTTTTAACTGATTTTTTGGAGAGATCAATTTGTCGTTCCACTCATTTATGCATTCATTGGTTGATTCTTGTACGTGCCCTGACCAGGGATCCAACTCACAACCTTGGCATACTAGGACGACACTCTAACCAAGTGAGCTACCTGGCCAGGGCCAAATCTGCCACTTTAAAAAAAATATATATATATATATATCTTTATTGATTTCCGAGAGAGGAAGGGAGAGGGAGAGAGAGATAGAAACATCAGTGATGACACAGTCATTGACTGGCTGCCTCCTGCACGCCTTCCCACCAGGGATCCAGTCCACAACCCAGGCATGTGCCCTGACTGGAGATCTCCTGGATCTCCTGGATCCTAGGTTGATGTTCAACCTCTGAGCCACGCCGGCCAGGCAAGAGATGCAAATCTGCCACTTTTAATAGAAACTTGAGTATAGTTAAATTTGGCATTACAGGAAACCCTCAGTTGAATTTGATTCATTAAATAACCAAAGTTTGTTTTTATTTCAGAAACTTGAAAATTTTGTTTTCTTGTTGGAATAGATAAACCATTTTATAGTTAGGTCCTGAATTTTAAAAGTACTTTTTAGGACCAAATGATTTGTTTCATAGTCTCCCTTTAACCCAGTGCTCTCAGGCCTGGTTCCTCAGCAGAATCACTCAGGAGGATGATTAAACCCTGATGTCCAGGCCTACTAAATCAGGATGTCCGGGGACAGAGCCCCAGCACCAATATTTTTAATGTTTCCCTGGTTTTTCTAAAATGTAGATGAGGTTGAGCACTGTGCTTTAATTAGAGCTAATTGCCATCATAAAGGAGGGCTTACATGATTATTATTTCCACATTTATGAAAAATTGACATGGGGGAAGGTTGGGTATTTCAAAAGAGGCAGGAACAAGGTGCTGCAGGAGCTGAAGGAGGAAGCAACCATCTATACCAGCAGCCCCCGTCTGCTCAAAAAAAGGAAGAAGATTCTAGAAGGCAGGAGATTAGGGAGAAGGATAGCTTTCACTAGGATATTATATAAAATGCTTTTAAAAACTTGAGATCATACAATTTTGTTCTATAACCTGTTCCCATCTATGCCATTAGATATAGGTCTATGCCGTTTTTAATGACACACCAACATTAAGGCTGAATTTAAAGTGCAAAGGCATGAGAGTGGCATGAAGGGCAGGGCGGGATGGGGGGAAGAACCTGAATTTTGGACTCAGACACACCTGGATTCCAACTGTCATTCTCCCACCACCAGTTATGCCACTAACTATATCACTAGCTGTGTGACCTTGTGCCAACTCTCTGTCCTTATCTGTAAAATGGAGATAGCATACTTCCTCATCCAGTGGTTTCCAGTCAAATGACACAATGCAATTAAAGTTCACTAGGCCCTCACGTAGCACAGCAACTCGATGGTACTTCTGTCCTCCCTTCAAATGTAAGGGCAGTGGGTACATTCACTCAGATAGGAGGAAGTGGCATCTAGTGACCCCAAACCAGGAGGGGAGGCTCCCAGAACTCCCTCACCTTCATCCTCTTGACTCTGGAGGACTCCTCCTTTGTCATTCTTCCGTAGCTCTGCAGCCGTTAAACAAGGCTGCTCAATAATGGCCCTGAACTAACCACTGAGGCCCTATGACCACCATTACCATCATCATCCCTATCATAAACATCCTCCTCACCGTCACCACCATCATCATCATCACTGTCATCTACATCGCCATCCTCATCTCACCATCATCCTCACCATCACCATCACCATCATCATCTCACCATCATCCTCACCATCACCACCATCATCATCATCATCATCTCACAATCATCCTCACCATCACCACCACCATCATCACTGTCATCTGCATTGCCATCATCATCACCACCATCTCATCCTCACCATCACCATCATCATCTCACCATCATCCTCACCATCACCACCACCATCATCACTGTCATCTGCATTGCCATCATCATCACCACCATCTCATCCTCACCATCACCATCATCATCTCACCATCATCCTCACCATCACCACCACCATCATCACTGTCATCTGCATTGCCATCATCATCACCACCATCTCATCCTCACCATCACCATCATCATCTCACCATCATCCTCACCATCACCACCACCATCATCACTGTCATCTGCATTGCCATCATCATCACCACCATCTCATCCTCACCATCACCATCATCATCTCACCATCATCCTCACCATCACCACCACCATCATCACTGTCATCTGCATCGCCATCATCATCATCATCACCATTTCATCCTTACCATCACCATCATCATCATCTCACCATCATCCTCACCATCACCATCATCACCATCTCACCATCACCTAGCTGGGGGGATTTGAATAGCTCTGCCTCCTAGACCTGTTGCAGGAAGTGATAGCCTCTGAGAAAGTACGTCCAATGCTGCATCCTGGGCTGAACTGAGTCCAAATGAACTCTGGCTGAGCTGCTCACAGTCTCTGAGACCCATTCTCCCGTCTTGGTCCCAAAGGGTGATCAGTTTCAGTGAGACAGCAGCAGCTGATGCTGCCCTTGGCTACATCATTGCCTTCCTGGTACTGCTGTCCATGGTGAAACTTTGGCATCTGCTCAGGTTGAACCCAAAAATGAACATGATCACATCAGCCCTGCGCCGCGCCTGGGGGGACATTTCAGGCTTTGTCATCGTCATCCTTATCATGCTCCTGGCTTACTCCGTTGCGGTGAGTGGCTCCTCTGGGAAAACCTCAGAGCTGGTCTCCTTGGAAGCAAAGGCTGCTCAGTGTTGGGGGATTGGAGATTAGGGTTAGGGAAACCCTAGGAACCTAAGGGAGATGACAGATCTTCTGAGTCCAGGGCCTTTTTGGCTGGGAGCTCATAAACTGGTCACTCTAAATGGAGACCTCAGTTGGGTAAGAGTGAGCAGGTACAGTCTCAAGACTGAACGGGCCAGCTTTCTCCAGCGAAGGATTCTTTTCTGTATCCAGACCCTGTCTGGATGTGCCAGTTCTCCTGACATTGCCAGTTGCTCAGACATGCACAGAGCACTCCTCCTGTGTCAGGGGATGTGGAAATGAATTGGGCAGTACCTGTCCTTGAGCTGAAGCAGAGAAGGGGAAGTGAGGATGGACGTATCTGCAGGCCAGGCCATGTCAATGCTTGATGCTCTACACATATGAGGCATGAACTTAGTAGGGCCAACGCCATTTCATTCAGCCCCTTCACACTGAGAGCATTTAAAAAATCACATTGCTTTTATGACTGAAAAAACAAAACCCTAACTATCAACTCTTTTTTATATCAAGTAATGTGAGAAACAAAGACCCTCGGACACATCCTGATCTCCATCTAAATATGCCCCCATCCTCTCCAAGCCCATGATTCTCATCACAACCCTGGCTCCCACTCCTCTGACACCCTCCACCCAATCTTGATCCACTCCTCACTCCAGCCCCTCTCTGAATTCTCACTCTGGCCGAATCCAGTCTCTTACCTTCTACCATCCCCTGATCTCCATACCATCCAATAGTCTATCTTATCCTAGTCCCCACTCATCTCTAACCCTCTCCCCTGATCCTTTTTCTGACTATCACCTCAAACCCCCTAATCCATCCCTGACCTCACTCCATCTTCTTCTCTCACCCTCAGAAATAGGGTGACATGCGCTGATGGAGGGCATATCCTGAAAAGTTGGAGTCTGCTTTTGTCAAAAGTACCCTCTCCAATCCCTTAGTTCACGTGGATTTATTCAGCCCTCTGTGTGCAGTGCATGGGCTGCAGGGACAGTGCAGTGTCCTCTGGGACTAGAAGTCACCCAGAGCCAGTGGAGTGCTGGGCTTCCCTTTGACACAAAGCCCTGTGGAAATCTTTGGGGTGGGGAATATGGTGGGAGGAAAACACGGGGGAGGGGAAGGTCCTGTCCAGGCAGAAGCAGCCTATTGTCCATCTAACCCAACTCCCCAAGAGCAAAAAGGGTGGGGCCTCAGAGAGCCCAGTTTAATTACTGAGTCTTAGAGCAGCTGTCTGAGTGAATGCAGTAGGAGACTAGCAGTTGGTGCTTGAGCCCCAGAAGTGCACGTGCATCCCATACAAATCTGGGTGTGTACTCACACCAACTCCCACACCTCTGTAGGTACCAATAGCTTGGCCAGGCCAGGCCAAGGATGTGGCTGACCCAGACCACTAACTCTACTGTCAAACAACAGGCTTTGGGGGTTGCATGTTTTCTTTCCCTGTTCATGAGGACTCTTTCCATAACAGTCAAACTTAATATTTGGTTGGAAACTCCGTTCCTACAAAACCATCTTTGATGCAGCAGAAACGATGATCAGCCTTCAGCTAGGAATCTTCAACTACGAGGAGGTAGGGTAAGGGGACATGGACACTCCCATCTACACCAAGCCTTTACAAAACTTAAGAAAAGCATTCCCATCAAATGCCTCCCCAGTGGCTATCACCCCTGTGTCCATGTCCTGGCAAGTGCAGGGTAACTGTGGACAAATAAAAAGGGTCCCCCTTCCTCAGTCAGACAGCCCCACACTAGGGCCCACGGCTCACCCTGGGGACCCCAGCTTATAGAATAACATGAGGTACTGGCTGCTCAGGAGAGGGCTATGCTAGGGTGTCCTCAGATGGGAATGCTCCTGACCCTAGCCAGAAATGGTACCCATAACTGGAAATGGCAGCAGTGAGGAATAGGGGTGCTGCCCTCTCCCTCTCCTGGAAGCTCTTGAGAGCATACTGTCAGCTCCCAGGCAGAAAAGGACCTTTCTGGCTCAAGGCTCTGCCTAACTCTGAGGACCAATTTTCCCTCTGAGGGTGCCTAGTGGGGGAGGTGGCCAATAGGGCATGGGACCTCCAGGGATGACTGGATTTCTTCCTAACAGGTCCTGGACTACAGCCCAGTGCTCGGCTCCTTCCTAATTGGGTCCTGCATTGTTTTCATGACATTTGTTGTGCTGAATCTATTTATCTCTGTCATCCTGGTGGCCTTCAATGAAGAGCAAAAATACTATCAGGTGAATCCCTTTGGCCATTTCCTCAACAGTCATTCACCTTGAAATAGGAAAAGGTTGGCTGAGCAGCATTAGACATTAGTGGAACTTGAGAGACCACTGTAGCTCAAAGCCTTCATTTCATGGGAGGGGAAACTGAGGACCAGAAGAAGGAAATTACTTCACCGGGATCACAAGCAAATGAAGGGAACACTAGAATTGGGTTTCCTGATTCCCAGTGTGGGACTCTGTTCATTACATCAGTGATTCTCAGCTATGATTGTACATTAGAATCACCTAGGGGCTTTTGGAAACTATTGCTGTTGCCCCTGAGACCAATAAAAACAGAATCCCAGGGTGAATGATGTAAGCCTGGGTATTTCCGAAATCTCGCTGTGTGATTTTAATATGCAACCAAGGTTGAGAACACATTAAAAATAATGAAAGAAGACAACTTAGGTGATACAAGCTTTAATACTTTGTGATCAGTCTCTATTCAGAGAACTGTAAGATGGGTGGAAGTCAGGAGGCTTTTATAGGATAAAGAATTAAAAAAAAATCAAGGAAGAGAAAAATGGAAAATATTGGATTGGCTGGGGCCTCATAGTCAACTTTGTTTGGGGTGAGAAGGGAAAAGAAATAAGTATGGAGAGAGCCCAGAGTTGGGTTGGTGTTTGGGGATTGACAGGCTGAATGTACTGCATTTCTGGTCAAGGGGAGCATTTACAGGGACACAAATGTTACCTAAGTTTCCGGTTGTTGACAAGGCACCCTGAGTAGGAGCGGCTGCACTTTAGGCCTAGAAATTTATTTCAACAAGTCATATGGTGACTTCTGTTTAAATTCTGAGAAACTGCCAAACTGTTTTCCAAAGCAGCGGCACCATTTCACATTGCCAGCAGGAATGCATGGGAGGCTCTGCACATACATTCCTAACCACCTCTGCTGGGGGTGGTGGAGGAATTCCATCGTTTTCACCAGAGGGGAAGGAGGAAACCCCCTGGGAATAAAGGGGGGAGCACACACCCTTGGGCTTCCCTGAAGGAGGTGAATCCCAACACAAAAGCAACTCTAAAAAGTGAAGTGAATTTGGCAGGGACCAAGTCACACAATAAAACCATGGTTTCCCCTGGTTTTATTTAAGAAAAGCCTCCAAACAGGATGTATCTAAATAACTTTGCGTGGTTCTTTGTCCCTCTGCAGCTGTCAGAGGAAGGAGAGATTGTTGATTTGCTGCTGATGAAAATACTCAGTTTCCTGGGCATTAAATGTAAAAGACAGGAGACTGGAAGCTGCAGTGAGCAGCCCGAATTGCCGTCAGAGGCCCAGCCCCCTCAGCCTGCACCAGCTGCACCCCAGGTTTAAGCTGTTCGCCTGCACAAAATCATCTGTAGAGTGGGCAGAAGGCCAGAGCCTAGGGCCTACACTTACCATTGATTCTGTAATCTCTCCAAGTCAATGTTTTCTGTGACCATAGATAATTTATGAAGCTTGGCAAGTAAAACTAATAAAAATATGTATATACATACACATACAATTGTCACTAGTGTGATAGAATAGTGTCGACTTCGAGGGGAAAACCCCTCTTCTACAGGCTAATTATTTCATTTTCTTGTCAGTCAGGTTGCCTTTGAATGATTCTAGTTCAAGGATTCTCAATCTGTGTCTGAGAGATGCTAATGGGCATCATTAGTTTGCTAGAGCAGCCAGAACAAAGTACCACAAACTAGGTAGCTTAAAACAACAGAAATTTACTGTCTCACATTTCTGGAGGATAGAAGCCCAAAATCAAAGTGTCAACAGCTCCATGCTCCCTCAGAAGGCTCTGCAGAGGGATGTTTCTAGTTTCCAGTGTTTGCCAGCAATCCTTGGCATTCCTTGGTTTGCAGATGCATCACTCTAATCTCTGCCTCTGCCGTCACATGGCCTCTCCCAGTATGTCTTTCTCTGTGTCTCTTTTCCTCTTATAAGGATACTAGTCATATGGGATTAAGGGCTCATCCTCCTCCATTATGACTTTGTCTTAATAAATGACATCTGCAATAATTCCTATTTCCAAATTTGGTCACATTCTGAGGTACTGGGGGTTAGGGCTTCAATGTATCTCTTTAGGGGGCACAATTCAACCCATAACAGGTGTCATGACCCCCAAAATGTTTCTGGATCAAATGTATCCAGAAAGTTCTTTAGCATGGGAACTGTCAGAGCTTTTCATATGTTAATGTGCACTGTGAGTCTCCTGGGATGAGATGAGCATGAACAACAGTGTGCAATGATTCCCAAACCTCTTTGACCAAGGCATTCAGTACTGCAGCACCTCAATCAGGGCCAGTGTTCCTTAAATGATACTTCGGGAACTGTTGATCTAAACTAGTGGTTCTCAACCTTGGCTGCATGCTAGAATCCCTAGGTTTCCTCCCAATATATTGGAATCTCTAGGTAGGTCCCAGGTGTCAATATTTTTTTAAGCCACCCAGGTGATTCCAACGTGCAGTCAGACTTGATAACCATGCCCCTAATTCTGAGAACCACAGATCTAGATAATAAAAGGCTTCCAGATGTCTGTGTGGACAAGTGCAAGTTTCCCCTCCCCCACACAGAGGAAGCACCTCACTCATCCTCTCCAGTTCACTGTATCTTGTCCCTCTTCATACACCCATTGTAGCAGATACTCTAGGTTGTCTGCCCTCAATCCATTCTACGCTTCCCTCCTTGCTATCAGAATCCTGACTTTGTTCAGTAGCCATCTACCTTTCTCCCACATGACTCCTGGGAAGGTGACCCTGTAACCACCTCAAGGTAAAATATGATGTGTCTTAGTAATGGTAACTCATGTCCCTTGACAGTGAGCAGTTCAGTGTGCACATGACCCAGTCTGGCCAGTGCAAAATGAGAGGTCTTTAGGACACTTACATGAAAGGTCTGCTTGCTAACAAAAAGAAACACACAGAGATGCGCTCTTATGCTGCTGGACATTGCGTGGTCTGCGTAAGACTCCTGGAACTTTGGCAGTTACCTTGAGACCAGGGGAACAATCTGAAGACGGCAGAGCACCAAGATAAGAGGAACATGAATGCCTGATGAGGTCTTTAAACATCTGACGTAATCAAGGCTGGAACTGAACTACTGCCAGCCTTTTATCTGGACAGAGCTTAAATTTTTTTTATGACGGTTGAATCAGTATCCCACTCTGCTACCCTGACAATCAAAACCCAGGATCCTTTATAAATAGAGAGCCACATAACATGCAGTATACATAAAACCTTGGTGATTTCATTATCTTCTATCCACCCAAAAGGCCACAACCATTCTCTACTGTGTCAGGTATGGACATGAGCTATACATGCAGAGGTGCTCATCAAATAACCCACAGCAAGGTGTACATGTTTTCTGATAAACTGATACAGAAACCTACCCAGATACATACAAAACAGTCTGTTTTAAATAGGAAATCTGGAGAAGTTGTAAATTCTTTATTTCTCTTTCTCATCTTTCCACTCTGCTTCTCCTTCAATCACATTATGTGTTAAGTAGAGACAGTTCCATGATGTGAGCCCTGACGACCTTGAGCTAGCTAGATCTGGGCCACAATACAGATTACTTCCCTTAAATCTCCTCACAGACCCTCTGAGCCATTTTTCCCATATGCCTCAAGGCTTGCTGGTTCCTGGAACTTGTCACCCTGCTGGGGGCAAGTAATTAAGGCATTTCTCCCTACGTGGGGCAGCTTACGCCCCAGTACACCAATACAGCCTGTTCTGTTCTATATAGTTCTTTATCGCCTGCCATGCCCCATTTCACTCCTGGGCAAGTTAGTTAAACTTTTTGAGCCTCCAGCTCACCTATGAAATGAATTTAATACTTACCAGAAAGGGGTTTATCGAGGATTAAAAAGATAATGTTTGCATAATCCTGTCGTAGGCAGTTAGACAAGGATGATGGGCTAGCTACAGAAGGTCATCAGGGTGGAAAGCCCAGGTTGCCTAGCAAAGGACAATTGCAGGGTGGGACCTCATCCCCAGGGTGACCTTTCCTCCCCTAGCATATCGCTGGTCTGGTCGTGTGGTTTGGACTCCCTGACCTTTCCTCCCTAGAGATAACATCTAGGCCTCAGTAGCATCCAGGCCCAGAAAAGGAGAAAAACCAGACAAGCAACACCAAGGCTGACCTCAGGACTAGCCGAATTGGATAACGACCCCCTGCCCTGATGCCTACCAATCTATCAGTGGAGGCCCCCGACCCTGAAAGGACACACCTGGAAAGCTGCTGAATATTCTATTTCAGTCTTCCCCTGGGACCTCCCAGGAGCACACCCTCACCTTTCCCCTCCACCTTCCCCCAAGGCATGTCACCTTTACCATCCTCACTTCTGAGCTCCAAGGGCTCTTCCTTTGCCTCTATAACTTGTTTCCTAAGCCCATTTCTCCTATGAATTACTCCTACCTCTGTGATTTTCTAAATAAACGTTCTCTTATAGTTTGAGTCTTGGCTCTGAATTCTTTCCTAGCCAGAACTCAAGTACTGAGGTTGCTGAACTAAGGTCTGGTGTGACCCCACTGGTCTAACATCTGGTGTTCTCGTGGCCCCCAGCAGTTCTAGGCACATAACAAAGTCTCAAAAAATGACTATTATTTGCTCAGAAGAAAATGTAGCATGACAGCCCTTGCAAGGCACTGAATAGATGTGCCAACAATCCCAACTTAATAAATGAGGCAGAAGCTTGGTGTAACAACACATGGGCCTCCCAAACACACAGTGTTTCTTTGCTGATTCATGCCTCAGAGTTTCTTTGCTGATTCATGCCCACTCCATAAAATCTGTTTTTCCCAGAATGTAATTATTTTCTGTCTGCTTGGTGGGGACATGTCCTCTGCTTTTCTCGGAAGACCTTGATGCTAGGTCTCAACTCTCTGCTTTTCTTTTTTTTTGAGATGGAGAAAGATGAAAAGAGAGTTGGTAGAGACAGGGAGAGAGAGGGACAGGGAGAGGCAAAGGGACACAGAGAGAGAGTGAGAGAGAGGGAAGTGGGGCAGAGGGAGAGAAAGAGAACAAGGGAGATGGAAAGGGAAAGAGAAAAAGACAGGGAGATAGAGGGAGAAAGAGAGAGAGAGAGAGAGAGAGAGAGGGAAAGGGAAAGAGAGGGAGAGAGAAAAGGAGAGAGAGGAAGAGATATTTGCAAACAATAGCTCTGACAAAGGTTTAATATCCAAAATATATAAAGAGTTCATAAAAGTCAATACCAAATAGACAACTGAATTAAAAATGGGCAGAGGACCTGAATAGATACCTCTCCCAAGGAGACATACAAACAAACAACAGATACATGAAAAGATGTTCAATCACACTAGCAACTATGGAAATGCAAACAAAACTACAATGAGGTACTGCTTCACACCTGTTAGAATGGCTATTATCAACAAGACAAGTAATAACAAGTGTTGGAAAGGTTATGGAGAAAAGGGAACCCTCATTCACTGCTGGTGGGAATGCAGACTGCTACTGCCTCTATGGAAAACAGTTTGGAGAGTCCTCAAAAAATTAAGAATAGAGTTACCATATGACTCGGCAATCGCTCCCCTGGGTATATACACCAAAACTCAAAAACATGTATTCACAAAGATATATGCACCCCTATGTCCATTGCAGCATTATTCAAGGTGGGCAAGACATGGAGACAACCAAAATGTCCTGTGATAGAGGACTGGATAAAGAAGACGTGGTAATATACACAATGTAATACTACTCAGCCATGAGAAAGGATGGTATACTGCCATTTGTAACAACATGGATGAACCTTGAGAATATTATGTTAAGTGAAATAAGCCAGTCGGAAAAAGCTAAGAACCATATTACTTCACGCATATGTGGGATATAAAACTGAAACTTGTAGACACAAACTGCAGTGTGGTGGCTGCCAGAGGAAGGGGGTGTGGGAGGGGAGTGAAGGGGGCCTAATATATGGTGATGGAAAATGATTCAACTTTGGGTGGTGGGCAAACCGTGCAATATACAGATCTTATATCATAGAAATGCACACTTGAAACCTATATGATCTTATGAACCAATGTCACCCCAATAAATTTAATTTTTAAAAAAAACTGTAGTTGCAACAACCATCTTTAGCTAGAATGATTCCGTTTGCACCTATGAATCCCACTCTGCGCGACCTTGGTCCTCCATAGGAGGGCGGTACTGCATCCTTCAACAGGCCTGGGAGCACCCCGCACTCCCCCGGACCCCTGGGCTAACAGGCTAGGGAACGTGCTGGATCGGCAGAGCCCTCGGTGCCTACAGCCCTCCTCTCCGTCCAGGTGGGTCGCCGCGCCCGGGTTTGCAGACCCAGGGCTGGAACTCGCCCGGAAGCCACGCTCAGAGGCGTGGTCCCACCCCTCCCGGGAGGCCCCGCTCTTCCGCCCAGCGGCCCCGCCCAGCCCGGGGGCCGCGCCAGTCCTCGCCCGCAGTTCGCCGCCCCTTCCCGGCCTTAGGACCTTCG